TCAGCGATGACGGCAAGTCCGCGGCCCGCAATTGCGCTTGTTGATGTTGTTGGCGAGTGGGAGTCCCTGCAGATGTCGTCTGGGTCAGGGTCATGCAGTGTCGTTTCGTGTGAATCGCCGCTGCAGTCGGGGATGTCGAAGTCCAGGACATACACTCCATTTTCGGAGTGCGCTCTACCGATCTGCTTGCGGGGGAATGTCCTTGATTCGTAGTGCAGCAGAATGTTGCGCGTTGCGCGATCCGTGCTGAGGTCGACGCCGCAGTCCATGAGCTGTGCGGCGCAAAGCAGGTTGAAGCGCAAGTTCTGGACGATCAGTACATCGTTGAGGGTGATGTGTGTGCGGCTTCCGCGTGCCTTGAGCACGACGATGCCTTGCGCGCTTGCGCGCAGGCGACTGTTGTTATCCACGGCGACGTAGGTGACTGTGGGGGTGGCGACGGCGTTGGATATGTAACGCTCTGAGCCCACCATGTGCTGGCCGCAGCAGCTGTCCAGGTACCAGGTGTTGTAACGCTTCCTGTCGTTACGTGCGAGCAGCGCCAGTCGCGGCGTGACGATGTGCGGAGTGTCGAACTTCAGAAATTGCTCACGCGAGAGCCAATCGAGTGGCACCGCCCGCATGTCAAGTACGTGCGGGGGGCATTCAAGCAGCGGGACTGGGAGGTTCTAGTCCTGGTCGTCGTCGTCGGTGAAGTCGTGGCGCGGACTGAACGGATTGTTGTTGGTAAACGCGCCAATGAGATGCAGTGATGGCTCAGGTGATGGTGAGCGCACGCGGTGTCGACGCGACTCGCCCGTCATGGCCATATTGCTCATGACGTTGCGTACAGGGGCAGACGATGACTTCTGATGCTGCTGATGCTGAACCGCTGGGTTCAGGTTGCGCGTGGGGGGTTGATACCCCTGGGCTGGACGCACGTCGCCTCGTGCGTCTTGTCGGCCGGACCAGTTGCTCGGATTGGTCTGGCGAGGGCGGGATCGGGACTTGCATCGATCCGCCAAGTGCCCAAGCTTCTGCAAATTTTGCAGTAGAGGCGCCGCGGTCGTCGCTCTTCGTTGTTGTCGGCGTAGAAGGCGAGTCGTTCACGTTCTCGTCGTGGCGCTGATCGCTGCTGATCCATATCGCATTGTTCGACGAGAAGGGCGGCGCAAAGGGCGGCCTCCGAGATGACCCCCTGCTGACGGAGAAGCGCCTTGCAGGGCTGCCATTCTGGGCCGAGCCCTTGAAGCACGATGTTCATGAAAATTTCTTCCGATATCGAGCTTCCCAACTTCGCGATTTGGTCGCGAAGGCTCCGACAGCGATTGATGTAGCTACTGGCCTTCTCCCCTGGGGCCATTTTGGTTTCCAGTAGCTGCTGGAGCAACCGGCTCGAAGAGACGGAGTTCTTCGACTAATACACGCCGTTCAGGTGGCGCCAAGCGTCGAGGGCTGGAGCAGGTGATGTCTTGTTTGAGCAAATGTTCAACTGCTCCGCCGGCGACATATTCCGCAGGAGTACCCCGTACGCCATCAGGGATTCGTTGTAATATCTTGTTTTGGCATCGTCGGTGTCTTCAGCGGGTCCCGCGTAACTCCCGTCGAAGTAATGAAAGATTTGAGCGTTCTGCAGCAGAAGCTCGAGCTCGAAGCTCCAGGTATAGAAATCTCTGCCGTCAAAGCACACACTTGTCTTTATTTTTGATATGCTGAGAAACCTTGATTACGCAGAGAGAATTGTCTCTTCACTGGGACGGGGAGTCTTGGGGGTTGAACCATTTGTGTCGAGGGAGAAAGTGTGCGGGGCGGAGTTCTGGCCATTTGGGGCCGATTGAGAAGGTTGCGAGAAGGTTCCCGCGTCGCCATTCCGTAATGTTTGGAGCCCTTGCTCCAAGCTGGTGAGTCGCTGAAGAAGTTGTGCGAGGACTTCGATCCCGATAGTCGTCGTTTCTTCGCTTGTCGCAGCCTGGTTGGGTTGCGCTTCAGCCGTCAGATTTGTCTGACCACCAGATCCTCCGGCCATTCTCATACGAGATCGTGTGCCGGACACCACTTTATGAATCACGAAGATTTCGGAGATGGCAGTGCGAAAGAATCTCGAGTTGCTCTCATACCATGCTGTGATCAGAAGGTCGCTCCTAGGATCTCCTCAGGAAGGTTCCCACACAGCTAGGTGGTTGGTGGTGGGCCCTTGACCTCAACAGCAGAGTGAATGTAAAATGCTTAAGATGATTAAAACATGCAAATACAAAGACATAAATATGAGTACAGGGGAATTCGAATCGACCTAGCTAGCCATGTACTCTAAGGGGTACATCCCCTTATTCAAATTCATTCCCAACCGTGCGGCGCGTACAGTTACGAAACTGTTCCCGCCAATTCCATCCTGCCTGCAGCTGCCCGATGCTGTCTGCTCCGACGGTTCAGATGCATTCCAACTGTCTGCGTGACTGCGTCGCTTCGAGTCAACTTTGACTCTTCGCATTCGTTCTCGTTACTGCGTGCTTCCTTAGCTGCGATGAGGAGTGCATAGTAATGTTCATACATTACTATTCGTAACAGCTAGGATCTTAAAATCTACTTCTTGTTCTGTATGTGTTGCTGCGCAATACATATATTTATGAACTCTTTGACTGGCCTTGTGGCCATTCGTCTCAGTGGCAATTGTGCCACCATGAGTTGCATCATATGCTTGTTTTTTGTTGTTGACTGGTCTTGTGACCACTTCTGTCAAAGGTGTTGACTGGTGGTACTGCCTTAACTTGTTTCTTGTCTGCCATGCATGGTCCCCTGTTTAACCTAGACTTGGGGGTGTGTCAAATGTATTTGTTATATTAGGCTGTTACATTTGGTAGCTTAGTTTAGAGTTTGACTATTTGTACCCATCTCCATCATTCAGTCCATATGTACTTTCATCGACCCCCCTTTCTCCTGTGCCGTTTCAGTAAAACAGCTGCCATTATCGCTACACGATCATCCAATTCGGTGATTCTGCCAGTGTGCACTTGGCCTCACAGGCATGCTCTTGTAATAGGGCCGTCGCAAGGGGTTAGGTTAGGCGACCCTGGGTGGTGGTATGGTAAATAACAGCCCATTATTGAGGCATGTAGCTGAGCGGTGGTGATGCTTAGAAGGCTGATAGCGGTGGTGGTGATGGTGGTACTGTTGCATGTGACGCTGCTTGTGTTGATGCTGGTGCTGGCGATGGCGCTGGTGATGTTGATGATGTTGGTGATGATAATGGTGGTTGTAGTGGTGGTTGTGCTGGAGTTGCCGGTGCTGATGCTCCGCGTAACGATACAGGTAATGTAGCTGCTGGTGCTGTTGCTGGTGTTGCTACTGCTGGTGCTGTTGCTGGTGTTGCTACTGCTGGTGCTGTTGCTGGTGTTGCTACTGCTGGTGCTGTTGCTGGTGTTGCTACTGCTGGTGCTGTTGCTGGTGTTGCTACTGCTGGTGCTGTTGCTGGTGCTGCTACTGCTGGTGCTGTTGCTGCTGCTGGTGTTGTTGCTGCTGCTGCTGCTGCTGGTGTTGCTGCGGCTAGCCATGGTGATATAGCAGGGCTTGAAGCAATAGGAGGAGGTGAGACGTCTGGTGGTGGTGGGGATGGTGGTGGTGGGGATGGTGGGGGTAGTGGTGGTAGTGGGGGTGGGATTGCTGTGCAGAGTGAACATCGAAAAGAGGGGAATGAAAGCAGCAAGGCAAGGCAGGAAATTAGGCATGGTAATGACTTCATAGTAAGTGTCGCGAGGAAAAAAAAAAAAAAAAAAAAATTTCCTCTTATACTGTCGCATAATAAGCAGCTCGTCTTTTAAATCATAAAGATGAACCAGCAAATATTCAGAAGCACAAGAAAGTAAAGCTGCCCTTCATCAGCACTCATCAGCGCTTTCATGAAGGTGCCTTCACCAGCGATTACCCGGAATTACCTGACAAACCACCTGGCGTGGAAAATGTTTGCCTGGTATACAACCTGGAATCAGCGGGTGGGAACTTACGAGGGCTGGGTGGAGGGGGTGCTGGTAACCGGCGGGAGATGAGGCCAGGGGGGCGGGGCGGGGAAGGAGGGCGAGGAGGGGGAGGAGGGTTGGGAGGGGAAGGAGGGTGGGGAGGAGGGGGGCGAGGAGGGGGTAAAGGAGGTGAGGGAGGGGGAGAGGGAGGAGGTGATGGTGTAGAGGATGGAGGGGGAGAAGTGGGAGGAGGCAGAGTAGGTGCCAGAGCTGGCTCTTGTGCTGTTGGACCAAAGGGGATTGGGGGATGGGGTGGGTGGGGGAGAGGAAAAGGGCATACATGTTAGCTGACTAGAGAATGGGCGCCGAGGAGGTGGTGGAAGAGGTGCTAGAGCGGGCTCTTGTGCTGCTGAACGGATGGGTTTAGAGGAGGAAGGCGGGATAGTAGGGAAGAAAACAGAAGCGCAGAGGAAGAGGAAGAAGGAAAGGAAAAGCAGGGGAGAGGGGAGGGCCGGACAGCATTGAAAGTTGTGAGCAACAGAACAAAATGAACAGTGAAAACATGATAACTGTGAAACACGGTGAACAATAAAAGATTGTGAACAGTGAAAGCGGTGGACAGGAGATTGCAGTACAAACTTGGCCGAACCAGATCGCAACTTCTCATGCACACGGCCTTGGGTCTACTGACATACCATATCATATATACATACCTGTGGAAGGAGGTGGTGGTGTTGGTGGCGGGGGTAGCCATGGCGGTGGTGGTGGCGAGAGGAAGGAGGGAGGTAAAGGAGGGGAGGGAGGAGGAGGAGAGGGAGACGGAGGAGAAGGAGGAGGAGGAGAGGGTGGACTGGGAGGCGGCGGAGAAGGAGGAGGGTAAGCTGCACAGGAGACAAGTGGGTGAGAGAGAAGGAATGGAAAGGGAAAAGGAGTGGGGGGGAAGGAGGGAGAGCGAGTGGGTTGTGCGGGGGAAAGAGAAGAGCACGATTGGGGAGCTGTCCAGTGGACTGCTGGAAGGAGTGAATGCAGGGATTATAAGAGATGCCCATTGCACCCAAAGTCGACTACAATTTACTTGAGTCTTGTGCACGCACAGTCCATGCAAAGAAAAGCAGTGCAAACAGAGAGGGGCAACGGGAGAGGGGCAAAGGGAGAGGGGCAAAGGGAGAGGGGCAAAGGGAGAGGGGCAGAGGGAGAGGGGCAAAGGGAGAGGGGCAGAGGGATAGGGGCAAAGGGAGAGGGGCAAAGAGAGTGGCGCAAAGGGGGAGGGGCAGAGGGAGTGGCGCAAAGGGAGTGGGGCGAAAAGAATGGCGCAAGGAGAGAGGTGTTCTGCCTACCAATCTGGCACTGCATGCAGACGTTGGGGCAGAGAGAGCAGAAGGCGAGCGGCGCAGCAGAGGAGGCGAGGAGGGAGGTGAGAGGGGGCGTGCATGCAGAGGCAGTGGAGGGGCAATCCATGCCGTCGCTGATGCTCCTGTTGGTGTTGGGGGTGGGGTGGGGTGGGGTGGGGACGGAGAGACTTCCGAGTCGAATCAAAAGGAGGTGCATGCGGAGGCAGGTGAGGGGCACTCCATGCCGTCGCTGATGCTCCTGTTGTTGGAGGGGGGAGGGGCGGAGTAGAGACGACAGAAACACAAAGGAAAGTGGAGGGGAGGGGGAGGTTGGGTGAAGAAATGAACGCTCCATCCCATGCCACTGCTGATGCTCCTGTTGTTGTGGGGAAGGGGGTGGGGAGGGGGAATAGAGACGAAACACAGAAGGAGTGGGGTTATTTATTTATAAGATTATCAAGGAACGCTCTATCCCATTCCACTGCTGATGCTCCTGTTGTTGTGGGGAGGCATAGGGGAGAAACACCAGGGGAAAGGGGAGAGGAGGGGAGGAAGAGAGGGACTTGCCAGACAAGTGGGGATTGGTAGCATTTGTCTTGTGTTCCAGCAAAGACTTTTGGAACGTCCCTTTTGTGTTTGAGCAAAGAGCGGGCAAAGTATGGTACTGCTTGTTTATGCTCCTGTCGTTTGGGGGGAGAAAATGGGAGGGAGGCGGGAGCGGGAGACAAGTGGGGAAGAGGAAGCAGTAGAAGATTGGATTATCAAGAGAGAGATACACACACACACAATGTTGCACATACAGACTCTGAGCTGAAATTATTTTTGAGTCGACAAAAAAATGAGTTGACTCAAAAAGAGGTACACCCACACTGCTTCAGATACAGACGCCGAGATGTACTCGAATTTATAGTTTTCCGAGTGGCGAGGATTCGGTCACTTGGACACTAGATAACTTTGGAGTCGACAGAAACATATCCATAAAAGGGTGAAAGCCATATGTATCTCAATGCCATATGTATCTCAATGCCATATGTATCTCAATGCCATATGTATCTCAATGCCATATGTATCTCAATGCCATATGTATCAGCAGAGGGAGCCATATGTAACTTTGGACATTGAGATACATATGGCTTTCACCCTTTTCAGGAGGTGAGTGCACGAGAGTCGCACTCACAGGTGCACGAGTCACACTCACAGGTGCACGAGTCGCACTCACAGGTGCACGAGTCGCACTCACAGGTGCACGAGTCGCACTCACAGGTGCACGAGTCACACTCACAGGTGCACGAGTCACACTCACAGGTGCACGAGTCACACTCACAGGTGCATGAGTCACACTCACAGGTGCACGAGTCACACACTCACAGGTGCATGAGGTTGGGGCATTGAGCAAGAACGACAGGGATGGCCCCTGTGAAGCTGTTGCCAGAGAGTTGTCTGCGGGGCGGGGTGGGGAGGGGAGTAATAAGGAAAACGTTCGAGTGTGAGAAACTAGACGGGAAGAAGGCCAAGAGCTGTTGTGGGTGAGCAAGAACGACAGGGATGACCCTTGTGAAGCTGTTCCCAGAGAATTGTGTGATGGGTGGTTGGGGTGGCAAGGGAGATGATTAAGTGAGTGAGTGGACACATGGGAAGGGGTAGCTGACGGGGTAGAGAGTGAAACAATCAGCAGAGGGAGTCAGATCAGAGGAACAGGAGGCGTGTACCGTGGGGACATGTGCAGGCAGCAAAGGCCCGGAGGGTGGTAGAGAGAGGGTGGGAGAGAGAGGGTGGGAGAGAGAGGGTGGGAGAGAGGGTGGGAGAGAGAGGGTGGGAGAGAGAGGGTGGGAGACTTACATGGTGTAAAGAGATCGGGTGAGGCAGAGAGTACAACTTCTGTGACTGGGTCAGTGAGCTTTGAGTGTATGTTGAATCGACTCAAAACACACCAGGGGATGGGAGACTCACAGGCTGTAGAGAGTGGGTGAGGCAGGGAATACAGAGTCTGTGATTGGGCCGGAGAGGTTGTTGTTTTGCACGTCGCTGTGAGGGAGGGATGGAGAAAGGAGGGGAGTGGAGAATGGAGAGGGGAGGGATGGAGAGGGGAGGGGAGGCAAGGGAAAGGGTCGAGATTGGAGGAATCAAGGAGGGAGAACGGGAGAAGGGAGAATGGGAGAGAGGAGGATAAGAGAGGGGAGGATGGGAGAGCACAGGGATAAAGCCTGACTCACAATGTGAAGAAGGCCGGGTTGGTGATTGAAGGCTCAGGGAGGCGGCCTGACAGCTGGTTGTTGGCGAGCAGGCTGCATGGGCGGTGCAGGGGAGAGGTCAGAGTGATTCAACAGGAGTCCGAGAGGAGGCGCCTCAGTTACTGGATGAGGGACTTGAAATGCTGCTCATTGTGGCATGAGAGGGCCTTGCATAAAATGGAAGTTGAAAGAGTACTGACAGGTTCTTCAGTTTGGGAGCACGTGCGATGGAGGACGGTATACAGCCCTGAAGCAGGTTGTTGGAGAGGCTCCTGTGGAGAAAGGAGGGAGCGATACAGAGGACCACGTTGAGAGGCACGGAGGGATGCTGGTTGAAGACCGCGTTGAGAGGCACGGAGGGATGCTGGTTGAAGAACCGTCAGTACAGGGGAAGGGAGACAGTTGTTTGCTCAGTGCTGGCAGCAAGCGAGACAGGGCAGGTGCTTTCCTTGCAACTCTTGGGGTGCATGGGAACTTGAACAGGAGAGCAAGCAAAGCTGTTTTGGTGTGACGGGAAGACCGCAGAAGCAGCTATCCCACAAGCTCAGAGTGGCGAGTGAGAGCACACAGCAGGCAGGATTTCTCCGTGATGTGAACCTGACCCATGATTTGATTACGCAATCAAATCGGGCTATAAGCCAGGTGACGGTCGAAATCATGCCCGACCCATGTGACAGAATCGTGCCCGACCCATGTGACAGAATCGTGCCCGACCCATGTGACAGAATCGTGCCCGGCCCATGTGACAGAATCGTGCCCGGCCCATGTGACAGAATCGTGCCCGACCCATGTGACAGAATCGTGCCCGACCCATGTGACAGAATCGTGCCTTCTGAACCTGCCTTTAAGTTGGGTCAAGTCGGGCTCATCTGTTACTGGGGCGCCTTGAAAATAGCCAGGTCGGGACAGGCTCTGCTCCCTTCAGGCTCTCAAGGGCTTACAGGGCTTGAAGGACTGAGAAGCTTGCGATGTTGGCTGGCAGAGAGCCGCTGAGTCTATTGTTGTTGAGATAGCTGTTGGTGGGGAAGAGGTGTTGCAGACCAGGGGGAAGAGTGGAAGGAAGGGAGAGTGGCGGGAATATGGGGATGGGTGAAGGGCCATGGGTGAGGGCCATGGGTGAAGGGCCATGGGTGGAGGGCCATGGGTGAAGGGCCATGGGTGAAGGGCCATGGGTGGAGGGCCATGGGTGAAGGGCCATGGGTGAAGGGCCATGGGTAGAGGGCGGGTGCAGAAAAAGGAAATCAACAGAGGGCGGGTGCAGAAAAATGAAATCAACAGAGGGCGGGTGCAGAAAAAGGAAATCAACAGAGGGCGGGTGCAGAAAAAGGAAATCAACAGAGGGCGGGTGCAGAAAAAGGAAATCAACAGAGGGCGGGTGCAGAAAAAGGAAATCAACAGAGGGCGGGTGCAGAAAAAGGAAATCAACTGAGGGCGGGTGCAGAAAAAGGAAATCAACAGAGGGCGGGAGCAGAAAAAGGAAATCAACAGAGGGCGGGTGCAGAAAAAGGAAATCAACAGAGGGCGGGTGCAGAAAAAGGAAATCAACAGAGGGCGGGTGCAGAAAAAGGAAATCAACAGAGGGCGGGTGCAGAAAAAGGAAATCAACAGAGGGCGGGTGCAGAAAAATGAAATCAACAGAGGGCGGGTGCAGAAAAATGAAATCAACAGAGGGAGGTGCAGATGGGAATAAATGAGGAGGGTGGTAAGTCGGGCAAGTCACCAAATTCGGTTGCTAGAAAGTCGTCAAGTGGGTAGTCGTTTAGAATAAAACGTAGGATGTGGCTACCTAGAGATTATCAATCAGTTAGAACAGAATCATTGAGGCGCCTTAAAAAGAGCCGTGGAAAGGGGTGGTAGTTTGGAGCAGTAGAGGAGGTGTGGGGGGGTTGGCGGGGAGGGTTACAGACTCGACAAAACTATGCCAGTTGCAGCTGGTGTGGCATAGACATAATGGTGGACAGTTTAGAAGCGACTGAGAGTTTCTTGCGAGGGATTCGACACGTCTCAAAACCAATATTTTATCACCGAGTGGCAAAGATATGCGGGTGGACCGTTTGGGAGAGGAGAGGAGAGGAGGTTGTCGGGTTGGTGACTCGAACCATACCAGTTACATGCAGCTGGGGAAGCACAGATGCTGGTGTGGTGTGGTTTGGTGTGGTGTGGTGTGGTGTGGTGTGGTGTGGTGTGAAAGTGAGTGAGAGTGTCTTGGGGGATGCTTCTATCAGCAGCACTCATGCATGCTGCAGACGTGGCAATGCAAGGAGACAAGAATTCGTGACATGTTTCCATGTTGAATTCGAGATTTTATTCGGTTTTCGCATTATGTTTTTCACAGAACGCTGCTGCTCACACGTGCTGCAGGCGTGGCAATGCGGCGAGGAAGGAGGGCATGTTGCCGTGCAGCCCGTTGCGCTGGATGGAGCTGATGAGACACAGCGAGGAGGCACAGCGAGCGCAGGGCGAGGGAAACAGCAAGGAGGCACGGCGAGGGCAGGGCGAGGGAAACAGCAAGGAGGCACGGCGAGGAGGCATGGCAAGGAGCAAAGCGGGACGAGGAATGGAAGGAGAGGAGGGCAGACATACGGGCGGAAGGGAAGTGGTTGGAATGAGACAATGAGGGAAGCACTCATTTACAGTATTTTGTGCATGTGGTAGCAGGTGGGCACATGGCAGGTGGGCACATGGCAGGTGGGCACATGGCAGGTGGGCAGCAGAGGAGGAATGAGGAAGCGGGGAAGCAAGAACCATTATCTCTCTCCGACGCATGTGAGGAAAGGTGGGGAAGCAAGAACCATTACTACGTAACACTTATGAGGAAAGGTGGGAAGAAATGCACGATTGGCCCAACCCAACTGTCGCCAGTGCAACGCATGTGAAAATGGCAGCACTGTAAAGAGTGGGGATGTGGAATGACTGACAGGAAGGAGAGTGCGGTGAGGGAGGAGAAGGAGAGAGGGATGGATCCAGTGATGCTGTTGTTGTCTGCTCGCCTGCCGTGCCATGACGTGCCACACGTCAACCGTGCCATGCCATGCCATATGCCACGCTTTGCCATGCCATGCCATGCCATGCCATGCCGTGCCATGCCATCTCCCCCCAACCCATCCCATGCAAACCCATACCATGCCATGCCATGCCATCCCATGCAATGCTATGACATGCCATGCCGTGCCATATCATAGCACATGATGTGACACTCCATGCCATGCCATGTGATGCAATGCAAGACTTGTATGAGACTGACTTCACTTTTGAGAAATCTCAAGAGTGATTTGAATCATAGTAGGTAGGTGAATGGAGGGATGGCGACCTACCTAAACTGAGTGATTGGAGCGAAGTGATTGGAGCGGAGTGGTGTAAAAGAGTAGGAAACACTTGAATCAGGAAAGTATGACAATCAGGTATAACATAAAGAAGCAACGGAGACTTACAAGGAACTATACATACATGGCATCATGTGCTCCATGTACCTACCACCATACATGGCGTCATGTGCTCCATGTACCTACCACCATACATGGCGTCATGTGCTCCATGTACCTACCACCATGCATGGCGTCATGTGCTCCATGTACCTACCACCATACATGGCGTCATGTGCTCCATGTACCTACCACCATACATGGCGTCATGTGCTCCATGTACCTGCCACCATACATGGCGTCATGTGCTCCATGTACCTACCACCATACATGGCGCAATGTACAAGGTAAAGTAGGTAACTTTAGAGTCGACTCAAAAGGTAAAGTAGGTACCCGGAGTGACGGAGACGTAAACATGTCGCAAACAAGCCTTGGTTATGCTAGCCGGGCTCAAAGAAAGAATCGAAACGCACATGGAGCGAAGAAGCTTCAGATTGCCCATGGTGGATGGCAGTGAGCCTGAGATGCTGTTGTCTGAGAGGTCACTGTGGGGGGGCGATAGGGGGAGAATGGGGATTACATGGAATAGAGGGAGAGAAGGGCCGTTTGAGTGAGTGGCCCGAAGGGAACAGATGAAGGGGGGAGCTTGCACGTGTCGTCAAGTCAGAACGCTCAATGCAATGAAACAGTGTGAGGAGGATCACTAGTAAGAGTGCGGAGAGGAGGGAGGAGAGGAGGGTCAAGAGAAGGAAAGCGGGGAGGAGAGGAGGGGAATGAGAAGGAACAGGGAGCGGAGGGAGGCGGGTCTCACAGGCCTTGCAGGCTGGAGAGCCCGCCAATGGCTTGTGGCAGACTAACTACCTGTGAGGCGGTAGGTGTCTTTTGAGTCGACTCTAAACTCACAGGCCTTGCAGGCTCGAGAGCCTGCCGATGGCTTGTGGCAGACTGCCTGTGAGGCGGTTGGCCTCCATGCTCCTGCCATGCGCAATGAGCAACGACGGATGGGTGAGTGAGTGATGGGCGGCAGTGCAGAGAGCAGCATAAGAATTGGTCTAAGTTGGGGTTCACGAGCTTCACACACTGCCAGGGAAGGTCATGGCAGAGCAGAGCACAGTGGTGTTCACTGATTGGGGCAGGCAGGCAGGATTCTTGTCAGTCGAATGGCCTCCCCTCTCGTGCAATGAGTAATGGGCCACGATCATGGGAGACAGCGCAGTGCATAGCACCACACCATGCATAGCACCACACCATGCATAGCACCACACCATGCATAGCACCACACCATGCATAGCACCACACCATGCATAGCACCACACCATGCATAGCACCACACCATGCATAGCACCACACCATGCATAGCACCACACCATGCATAGCACCACACCATGCATAGCACCACACCATGCATAGCACCACACCATGCATAGCACCACACCATGCATAGCACCACACCATGCATAGCACCACACCATGCATAGCACCACACCATGCATAGCACCACACCATGCATAGCACCACACCATGCATAGCACCACACCATGCATAGCACCACACCATGCATAGCACCACACCATGCATGCATAGCACCACACCATGCATAGCACCACACCATGCATAGCACCACACCATGCATAGCACCACACCATGCATAGCACCACACCATGCATAGCACCACACCATGCATAGCACCACACCATGCATAGCACCACACCATGCATAGCACCACACCATGCATGAGACACACACAGACTGACAGGGAGACGAGGTTTTGGAGTTTGGAGATGGAGGGTGGAAAGGCAAGCCAGTCAGTCAGTCAGTCGTGTCAAGACAGACAGCACTGCACTGCACTGCACAGCACTGCACTGCACTGCACAGCACAGCACAGCACAACACAGCACAGCACAGCACAGCACAGCACAGCACAGCACAGCACAGCACAGCACAGCACAGAACAGCCCAACACAGCACAGTACAGCACAGCACAGCACAGGATAGCACAGCACAGCACAGCACAGCACAGGACAGCACAGCACAGCACAGCACTGCACAGCACAGCACAGCACAGCACAGCACAGCACAACACAGCACAGCACAGCACAGCACAGCACAGCACAGCCCAACACAGCACAGTACAGCACAGCACAGCACAGGATAGCACAGCACAGCACAGCACAGCAGAATGCATTCATGAGGCACAGACAGACCGACTCACAGGAAGGCGAGGTTTTGGAGCTTTGAGATGGAAGCTGGAAAGGAGCCGGTGATGATGTTGTTGTCCAGCCAGCTGGGGGCGGCACAGCAGTGGGGGGAATTGAGGGTGGGGAAAAAGAGGGAAGTAGGGGAGAAGGTAAGAACGGGGATAATGATTGGAACAACAGCTCACAGGTACATCGACAGAAACAGCCATTTTGGATTCCGAGCAGCAGCAGCAGCTGCAGCAGCAGGCACTCACATGTAGGAGAGGTCTGAGAGGCGGCTAATGGTTGACGGGATGCTGCCAGAGAAGCGATTGTGAATGCCGTTGCTGCACGTGGGTGGGAGGTGAAATAAAAGTGGGGGGAGATGTGGATGGAGTGGGAGGGAATGAAAACAACGGGGGGAGATGGATGGATGGAAGAGGGCCAGCGCCGGCAACATGAGGAGGAAGACGAACCGTGTGTGGACAAGGACAAACAAAAAACACCTATTTGAGTTGACTCAAATAGCGGCCGTTTGAGTTGACTAAAAAATGTCCGCACCTCTCTTTACTCGACTCACAGGTGCTGCAGGCGCCTCGAGCCAGCGAGAGGAGCGAGCGAGCCGGTGAGATTGTTGCCAGGAAGAATGCTGCAGGGGAAGGATCGGAGGGAGTGCAGTGGGGTTGGAGGCAGGATGGGATTGGAGGGGCGGGTCACATGGGATGACGCAGGAATGCAGGGGGAAATGGGGGGAACAGGGGGGTTGAAAGGGGCGGATCAGAGAAACTGCTGGGGGAAAGGAGAGAACGATGGGCAGGGAGGGGGAAGAGAAGGGTGCGATTGTCGCAAGGAAGATTGCCGGGAGAGCAAAGGTAGGCACGAGAGAACGAAGGGACAGGGTTAGGGTCAGCATTTGGTGAGAGACAGGCAGAGCAACGAGTGCACGCACAGCATGATGAGGTTGGTGAGGCGCGAGAAGCCCGAGGGCAGCGAGGACGAGAGGCCCACCCGCGTTAGCTCCCTGCGGAGAGGATTGGGGTGGCGAGAGGTGGAGTGGAGAGGAGGGGAGTGGAGTGGAGTGGATTGTGAGTGTCCTTGAAGAGACATTTTCCTGAAGAGAACACTCGCAAGTGTCAAGGCACAGAGGCGGGACAAGCCTTTGTGAGCGATTGTAGTCAAAAGAGAAGCGAAGAGAAGAAAAAAAGGCTTACATGCGTGTCAAGGAAGTGAGGCGGGAGAAGAAGTGGGGAATGGTGCAGGAGAAGATAGTGCCGTCCATGCTCCTGGTGGTGCCCGCATTCAGAGGGAGAGTGGTGTGGATGGGGGGGCGAAGAGGAGGATCAGATGGACATTTTGAGTCGACTCAAATGAAGAAGAGGGGAATGGGGTTGACAAGATAGTGCCGTCCAGACTCCTGATGGTGACGACGGCATTCAGAGGGACGGAGGCGGATCAAATGGGCATTTTTTTGGTCAAATCAGATGAAGAAGTGGGGAATGGGATTGACCAGAGAGTGCCGTCCAGGCTCCTAGTGGTGGATCAGGTGGAGTTAATAACAGATGGGGACAGACAGATGGGCATAGCAGAGTGGGCAAGAAGGGGCGTGAGAGAGGGAGAGAGAGTGACAGCAAAGAGTAACGGCCAGCGATGGAATTCTGTGTGCAGAGAAGGGGATGCATTGCCTTGCCTTGCAAAGGGTTCGATTCGATTTGCCTCAGAACGCCTCACAGTGATTCGAGCCTCACAGTGATTCGAGCCTCACAGTGATTCGAGCCTCACAGTGATTCGAGCCTCACAGTGATTCGAGCCTCACAGTGATTCGAGCCTTACAGTGATTCGAGCCTTACAATGATTCGAGCCTCACAGTGATTCGAGCCTCACAGTGATTCGAGCCTTACAATGATTCGAGCCTTACAATGATTCGAGCCTTACAATGATTTGAGCTGCTTCAGTTGGGAGAGGGATGCAGGGAATGAGCCGCCCGCCACTGAGCTGGAGATTTCCCTGCAGCGATGGTGGAGAGGGGCATAGGACGAGAGCCGCACAAGGTTGATTGAAGGTGTATAGGGTTTAGGGTTAAGGGTTCAGTTGAGATGTGAATGCAGGGAGTGATCCCCCTGCCACTGAGCTGGAGATTTCCCTGCGGTGATGGTTGGGAGGGAGAGCGGGAGCGACGAGAGCCTCGCAAGGGTGTGAGCAAGAACCTCGGAGCGGTTAGAGTCGGTTCAGTTGGGTCATGGATGCAGGGAATACACCCCCCTCCCCTCCAACTGAGTGAGAGATCTCCCTGCGGCGATGGTGGAAAACGGGAGAGGACGATGATGGTGCAATCAGGGACAAAGTGACTAGGAATGAGCACGCTGCAGCTTATACAACAGCACAGCAGCACAGCCATTGTGCAGCTGACAGTGCGTACAGCGATCCAGCTTGCAACGAACACATAGTGATTGGGTGTACAGTGAAGGCAACAGGTTGACGGGTCGTACAGGGAAGTGAGGGAGGTGAGCTGGCCGATGACAGAGGGAATGCTTGGTATGCGCGTGGGCGGAATGGAGGACGAAGAGAGCCGCCTGTGAGCAGGGGAGAAGAGGGCACAAGAAAGGTTGAGATTTGAAGTGCCTTTGGGTTAGCGGCAAATTGAAAAGAAGCTTTAAAGTGCCTCCGGATCGGATCAGGGGAGAGGGAACAGCACAGCGTTACCTTGCAGGCAGAGCAAACGTCTCCTTGTAAAATCCATGAGTTTGAAAAAACATCTCCTCTCCATGTGAATCTCATGGGACCGATGGGGATTTCTGAGTGAAAAGTGAGTGGCACAGAGCAGGCAGCAGGATGGAAAGATGGATGGCTTACTCACAGGGATTGCAGGCGCACGAGAGACAGAACCTCCCGAGGGAGAGAGAGCATGGAGACGAGCATTCTGTAGAGGAGGGGGAGAGGGGAGAGGGGTGGAGCAGAGACGAACCGAAGCACACGGAGGGAGGAGAGAGGGAACAGGGGGGAAGGGTATGGAAGAGGAGACGTTTCAGTGGTGAGAATGAGCGGGCGCATGACATTCGTTTGGGTTCCAGGAGCTCAGGGCGGTCTGACTTCTGGGAGCATGCACACGACGACAGGAGCTTGCTGCAGCAGGAGAGAGCTTCCGCACGCCACGAGGTTGCCTTGTGTCTAGCAGCGAGACGGATATGGTATCCAGCAACACGCGCGCAAAACCATATGATATCCTGGCAGAGGTATGCAACGTCTATGGAGAGCGCCAAGAGAGTGAGCGCTGGCAGCTGAGAGGCCCTACTGACAATCTTCAAAAGTGATTTGGATATTGCTAGACGGACCATTCCTAGCCGAGCAATGTTCGACACATATTAAGCTCACAGAGCGAACACATGTAGACTTTCTTATACGTACAGTGAGGTCACGTATCCCTGCGCGTCACACTTTATCTCCCTTATAAGGTCGCAATCTTCCCCCACCTCGACGCCCCCACTCGTCCCATTGCCACCCGCGCTGCCGCTGCCCGTTCCCCCTGACGACAGCCCTCGCACGGTCTGCCGCTGGCTCAGAATGACGCTCAGTGCTAACCCTGGGAATACGGAAACGAGGAAATGGGATAGTGCGGGTGAGTCAAGGATGAGGGAACGCTGGGTGGATTTGCCCATTCTTCCTGATGGCCCCGCCCCCCCGGCCTGGCGCTGGCTCAGAATGACGCTCAACGCGATCCCTGGGGAATACCGGAATGGGAGATTGCGGAGGGGGTGGATGTGTGTGAACGTTGGGGTTGAAAGGGGAAGGAGGGGGGAGGGGGAATGCTGGGTGGCTTTTTGGCCGTCCCCCCTGATGACGGCCCCCGCACGGCCTGACGCTGGCTCAGAATGACGCTCAACGCAATTCCTGGGTAATACCGGAATGGGGGAACGGGATAGCGGTAGGGGTGGACGTTGTTCGGCGGATGAAGGTGGGGGTGGGGGGGGTTGGGGGGGTATACTCATCGGCAAAAGACAAGGTGGCAAGGGGATCGCTTGGGCGTCTGCCCGTTACCCCTTGTTACCCCCTGACGTGTTAGGGTGGTTCGCCACTGCCCTAGTACCGACCTACGCGCTTCACCTAGGGATGGTAGCACGACACTAGGAACGGTGGGAAATGTCGACCTAATGAGGAGAACCGACAGCTATAATGGTGGGGCTGCATTCTAAGGAGCTAAGGAGGGAAGGCGAGAAGAAAGCGGGAAAAACGGAATGGTGGGAGAGTGAGTTTAAGGAAATGTCGAGAAGACATTTCCGTAACCTAAAATGTCCAACCGCAACCGAACCGTGTTTGGTGCGAATGAGACAACCAGGTTTCGGTTCCGGTGTCGGTTACCAAAATCGGTTCCGCGTGCGACTCGGACTGAAACGCGGATGACGCGTTACGCGAGGCGCACATCACATTTTGAAATGCTTAAATGTGTTTGTTTTCAATCAGTTCTTTGTACTTCTCTGTTTTGAGTGAAAATTGCATCAGACAACCAGAAATTCTCTCCAAGCATTTACTACCTTCAACGCTAGCCGGAGGCAATACCAAAACTAAGATGACGCACCACGCGCGGCGGCCTGCCGCTGGCTCACTCAGAATCACGCTCAACGCATTTCTGGGGAATACCGGAAAGAAGAGAGGGGGAGCGGGGGAGGGGGGGAGGTGGGGGGTGGGGGTTGTTGTGGGGGAGAATGGGGGAGGGGAGGGATGGTGGAGAAGGGGGGGTGGAAGTGGGGGTGTGGGAGAGGGAAGGGAGTAGGGAGTCCCCCCTCGGAGGGGGGAGGGGGGATGGGGAAACTTGATGGCAATGAGTCGGAAAGGTGAATGCAACCTCGAGGTAATCTGACAGTAGAGTGAGTGTCTTTGTGGCTGCGCTTCCGCGGCAAGGCAAAGACGCGACGCGACGCAAGGGTGGGGTATGGAAGAATGACGCGACGCCAGGGTGGGAGGGGGCGCCGGCGGGCCGGCGAGCGAGTGCACTAACCTGAGGTTGGAAAAAGCGAGAGCGACTCACTCTGCGACTCGCGAATCGGGAGAGCGTCGCTCGACGGCATCGCGAACGCTGCGAGCAGGCATGCTGCGACGATCGTGACGACGGCTGCTCGAGTCACACGTAGTGGTAACTGGCGAACGGCCTTTGATGATGTCGCGACGCGTCGCGACGTCGCAATGTTTCGCGACGCCGCCGCGGCAGTCGCATTCCCTGTCGCAGTCGTAGTCGTAGTCGCAGTCGCAGTCGCAGTCGTTGTCGCAGTCGCATTTGCGTTCGCATCATGTCTATCATATAACGACCCCGAGTCATATCGCTCGAATCTATCGATTTCCACAGCTCGTATAAGCCCGATAGCTCTTCGTACAATGGTAGCACTGGTACGCGGTGCGGGGTCACCACCAAAACTATTCCCAGATTGGGCGTTGCGCGCTACGCAGTCTCCAGACGACATTGCCGTGCGTTCCCACCAATGCGGCCGCTTGGCATAGCAAGCACGTCCGAAAGGACTTATCCGTCTCTGATGTTAGTAATAGTAATGCTGCGATGTGGTTCGCCTCGACTAGTAATAGTCGCGCACGATGCCACTATTACTACTACTTCCGAAGCAGGCTCAAAACTACAATATCGTAAATCGCGCGGAAGATACGCTGTAATGGGAAAGCTCTAATGGACCATTACAGCGTATCTGTTCTCCCTGGCGTATTTCCGTCCTCCAGCGACGTCGTTCCCGCTCGCTCGTGGTTTGGGCTCGCTCTTTTCTTGCGGCGCATTACTTTCCTTCCTGCTCGTCGAGCTCCAAACGTTTCTGCGGCGTGGTTCCGTTCTTCTGCTCGTCGATCACCCGCGCGGATGAATACACAGACGCGCGAAATCCGATCGGACAGCATGGTGTGTAGTGTACTCCAGAAACAGCTGGCGGTAATCGTGCATTGTTAATCGACGCATACTATTTGATCAGCCACCCGAGAACGCGGACGAATTTGACACGTGTACTCCAGAAACAGTTCGGCAAATCTGCATATCCGATCCGCCATTGATATGCCCCTCCTTTTGTTCAGACTCGTCCGACTGTGCAAGATGGCCAGAGGCCCATCTTTTGATCGGACAAGTCATGGCGCGTGGAAAATGAGTCAGCAATCTATATATTGCAATAACCATACAGCTCACGGCCATGGGAGCAGAACACTTGTGTGCAGACGAGGCCTTCCCCCGAACCTCTGTTTCCTTCTTGTGCTGCCAAACAGAGAATGGCTACACGGCATTACCGCTTTTCAACGATGCGTACCGAATGGTATCGTACAGTAGAAACGGTATCTGAATTGGAAGGCATTTCTTTGGTTTGGTTGGGGGAGGAAGAGGGCGACCAAGGAGCAGAACGGAAAGGTGTGATCACTTTCATGTCGGTGCCAGGCGAAGGGCGAATCGCACATTTATTTGGCGGGAGTTTTCGATTCTGCATACAGGTCGTGTACAGCAAGCAACACGCTGAGGACAGCACAGAATCCGATTCCCTCTGGGGACAACTGGGAATGGAATCCATCTCGGCTGGTGGATTGGATACTGTACACGCAGGGTTCGGTGTCACACACACAGAAGCACAATTGCAGCGGGTGTGGCGATCGAAAGAGCTTATTCCCGTTTCAAGCCGCTTTTAACCAGCGGGCAAGCCGGCTTTTGTAAAAAAGGCATATACCCGCCAATATCATTAGGCATGCTTTTGATACGGCAATATGCTCATTTATTTGTTGTTTTGTTTCCGTACATATGGCAGAAAACAAGGATGGAGCTCAGTCTGCACACACATACACACACACACACATACACATACACACGCACGCACGCACGCACACATACACGCGCGCGCGTGCGCAGTTGGGTAGAAAAACACCACAACATAACAACAGGTGCTTTAGACGGTCGCCCAATGCTCCCCACTTTCAAACTAACATAACGGCAAGATTCATGATGCTATGATTGGGGGAAAGCTTAGAGCATACACGCACATGCATACGCGCGCGTGCGTACACACACACACTCAAACGCACGCACACACGCACGCACATACGCACGCACGCGCGCGCGCACACACACACACACACACACACACACACACACACACACACACACACACACACACACACACACCCCACACACACACACACACCACACACACACACACACACACACCCCACACACACACACACACACACACACACACCACACACACACACACACACCCCACACCCACACTACACACACACACACCCACACACACACAACACACACACCCAACACACACCACACACACACACACACACCACACACACACACACCCACACACACCACACACACACACACACACACACACACACACACACACACACACCCCACACACACACCCACACACATCACACACACACACACACACAACACACACACACACTACACACACACACACACACACACACACACACACACACCACACACACACACACACACACACACACACACACACACACACACACACACACACACACACACACACACACACACACACACACACACACACACACACACACACACACACACACACACACACACACACACACACACACACACACACACACACACACACACACACACACACACACACACACACACACACACACACACACACACACACACACACACACACACACACACACACACACACACACACACACACACACACACACACACACACACACACACACACACACACACACACACACACACACACACACACACACACACACACACACACACACACACACACACACACACACACACACACACACACACACACACACACACACACACACACACACACACACACACACACACACACACACACACACACACACACACACACACACACACACACACACACACACACACACACACACACACACACACACACACACACAATACATATTGTCAACGGGAGTTGTGTTAGGCCCCGTCCTCGCTTGGGCGGAGCTGACCTCGTGGTCGGGTGTACGGGGGAGTGCAGCCGACCTGCAGCAAAAGGCGAGCTGGTCGACGAGGTGGTTGACCTGCGCGGGGGCCATTGCACCGACGCCGACTTCGAGTAGCCGACTGGGTGTGATCGGCTGACTGGTGTACTTGTTGACGTGGAGCTGGTCGACCAGAAGTGTTGTCGACCTGGAGCTGGTCGACTAGGGGAGAGGTCGACCTGGTGAGGTCGACTGGAGGTGGTCGTCGACTTGGGTGGTCGACGGGCACGTAAAGAAGCAGCCGGTCGACATGGTTGCCCGGTCGATCAGGTTACCTAGGTGACGAGGTTCTGCGGAGGCACGCGACAGTCGCCCAAGTGAGGGTGGTGGTTGTGAGGGTGGTGGTGGAAAGAGTGGTGGTGGGGAGAGTGGTGATGGTGATGGTGGTGGTGGGGATGGTGGTGGTGGGGATGGTGGTGGGGGGGAAGGGTGATGGTGGTGAAGGTGGTGGTGGAGATAGTGGTGGTGGTGATGGTGGTGGTGGGGATGGTGGTGGTGGTGATGGTGATGGTGGAGATGGTGGTGGTGGGGAGGGTGGTCGTGGGGATGGCGGTGGTGGGGAGGGTGGTGGTTGTGATGGTGGTGGTGGTGATGGTGGTGGGGATGGTGGTGGTGGCGATGGTGGTGGTGGCAATGGTGGTGGGGATGGTGGTGGTGGGATTGTTGTATAGTAGCGAAAAAGGAACACCACGGTTTAGATAGAATGGACAGATATGGTGGAAATTGAACACCACAATTATGACATTATTTGTGCACCAGAAAGAAAAGAAAGGAAAAGAAAGGAAATACATATATACGTATATATTCGACTCATAGTGATTACGATAAAAAAAAAATATCACATGTGATCTACATGAAGTTATCTGACAAACCATTGTCGAGAGTTTAACGAGAGTATAAGTTAAGTTGAGAGGTAGGGCCTAGGCTTAGGAGCCTAGGCCCGAGATTAGGTGTCGAGCAATTTTCTCCTAGGGTGAGAATCGACTGAGTTGGAAGAGGAGTTGGGAGAAATGTGTGCTTCACTATAGTTTCGAAGTACATATAGTAAGGAAACAAATGAAGAGGTGCACCACCTACAAATTTAATAACTACACTACAGCTAGAAATACATGCAATTATAATAAATATAATTCTGACATCCCCCCGTAATTGCATGCAGGAATAGCTAAGTGCAGAGCAAAACCTGCAGAGGTACACCAACGAACAATAACACAAGCAACAGCAGGTACTGCAGGCGTGCTAACTTTGAATGGTTACCCCCTCCATCTCCTCACCCTCCTCCTTCCCCTCCCCCACACTGCTGCAGGAGCAGCAGAGAGGGGGGGAAGAGAGGAGAGGTGGAGGGACGGCTGCTTGTTGCCTCACACCCGCCACCCCGGTGCCACTCCCCCTGCTCCCCCACATCCTCACACCCTCCCCCCCAGTGGCAGCTGCAGCGGTGGGACTGAAAGAAGGAGGAGGGAAAGGGAAAGAGTTGACCCAACACTCCAACACCCGCCACCCCCATACCCTCCTCCCCACGGCTGCAGGGAGACAAAGGAGGAGGGGGGGTGGGCGGGAAGAAAGCCGCAGAGCGGCTAAACGATGTCGGCGCAGATAGGTCAGGGGCGGCTTCAGGGAGAGCAGGGGCGGAAAGGCCCGTCGCGTGCCACGGGGCGCAACAACGGGTAAGTTAAGAGAAAAGGGCCCGATCGTGTGCCTCGGGGCGCACGACGAGCAGGGCACCGTCACGTGCCACGGGGCGCACGACGGGCAGGTAAAGGGCACCGTCGCGTGCCACGGGGCGCGCGACGGGCAGAAAAGGCGTCACACGCCAACCGGGGGCGGGACAAGGAAAAATCGTCACGCGCCCTAGGCGCGCGACCGGAAAGTTGTAGCAGCGGAAACGTGAGGCCAGAACGAACGTCGCTCTGATAACATGTCGAGAGTTTAACGAGAGTATAAGTTAAGTTGAGAGGTAGGGCCTAGGCTTAGGAGCCTAGGCCCGAGATTAGGTGTCGAGCAGTTTTCTCCTAGGGTGAGAATCGAGTGAGTTGGAAGAGGAGTTGGGAGAAATGTGTGCTTCACTATAGTTTCAAAGTACATATAGCAAGGAAACAAATGAAGAGGTGCACCACCTACAGATTTAATAACTACACTACAGCTAGAACTACATGCAGTTATAATAAATATAATTCTGACAACCACATGAGCAAGGAAAATGCTCAACTAACATACAACTTGGAATGAGTAGGTGGGAACTTATGAGGTCTGGGTGGGGGAAGGGAGGTGATGAGTGGCGAGAGGTGAGGCTTGGGGGCCGGGGAGAGGGTGGAAGGTCGGGAGGAGGGGGGTGCGGAGGGGGTAATGGAGGTGAGGGTGGGGGAAAGGGAGGAGGTGAGGGAGGGGAGGAGGGAGGAGGTGAGGGAGGAGGAGGGGGAGGAGGAGGCGGAGTAGGTGCCAGAGCTGGCTGTTGTGTTGCAAAACAGATGGGTTTGGAAGGGGGGGGGGAGGAAGGGGTGTGAAATGAAGAGGGGAAATATGGGGGGAGGAAGCCGAGAACATAGGGGAGAAAACATATGTGAAGGGGAGAGACACTGGGTGGGATGAAGTGAAGAGGGAACGAAGGCAGGTGTGGAAGTGAGGTGTTTAGAGGATAACGGATGGGTCATGAGGAAAGAGAATGCATAAAGGCACGAGTAGAGGGGAGGAGAACTGTAAAAAATCATGTTGTGTGTACACATACATACATACATACATACATACATACATACATACATACATACATACATACATACATACATACATACATACATACATACATACATACATACATACATACATACATACATACATACATACATACATACATACATACATACATACATACATACATACATACATACATACATACATACATACATACATACATACATACATACATACATACATACATACCTATCTCTGGCAGGTCCGTTACTCAGACTTTTTTTTTTGAAATTTTACAAAAGTCCCTCAAAAGCCATGTTGTATGCACACATAAATACATACCTATCCCTGGCAGGTCCTTTACTCTCATGCATTAGTACGTAACCGTTGGTTTTCAAGAACTCCAAAAAGACCATGTTATTTGCCCACATTCTCTCATATCCTTCATACATACATGCATGTGAAAGGAGTTGGGGAAGGGGGTGGTGATGGGGGTGGGGGTGACGATGGCGGTGGCGAGAGGAGTGGGGGAGGTGGAGGAGGGGAGGGAAGAGGAGGAGAGGGAGGAGGAGGAGAAGGTGGGCTGTGAGGAGGAGGAGAGGGCGGAGGGGAGGGAGGAGGAGGAGAGGGCGGGCGGGAAGGAGGCGGAGACGGGGAAGGATTAGTTGCAAAGGAGACAAGGGGTTGAAAGTGAAAAGATGGAAGGGGAAAGGGTGAGAAAAAAAGGATAGGAGTGAGTAGTGTGGGAGCGAGAGAAAAGCATGATCAGGGAGCTTTATGTGTGTGTGACTCTTGGAAGGAGGGAATGTCACGTATTCTGTGACTTTGTCGTGTGGCTTTCAAGAGACTTGATCATAGCACATAAGGTCAACTATTGTCGGATTTATAAGACATAGCTATTGTAGGCTATAGTGGGGTAGCACATATGGGGTACAGCTTTCTAGGGTTTGTATTTGTACCCAACTTTCACTTAGTCATTTCATTCTCGTTCTAGTTTTCTCATGGTATCGAGCAGGTTCCCTCGTGGGAACTGTTCCTAGGGCCCACACATTCGAACTTTTTTTCCTCCCCGGAGCGCACTCAGTTCCTGCCCGAGTCGCGCTCCCCTCTCTCGACCCTCTCGCGCCGCCTTAGCGGCCCTGTCGCGTCGCCCTAGCGGCCCCGATCCGCCGCCCTAGCGGCCGTGTCACCTTCTCCTACGACCCCGACGCCGCCCTTCCCGGCCCCGATCCGCCGCCTTAGCGACCCCGCGGCCTCGGCGCTACCCTTCCCGGGCCCCGACGACGCCCTTCTCGGCCTTGGCCCCGTCACCTACCTCGCGACCCCGTCACCTACCTCGCGGCCCCGGCGCCACCCTCTCTCGGCCTAGACGCCGCCCTTCTCGACCCGACCCAGCCTCTACTGGCCCCGTCGCCTACCTCTGCGGCCCCGACGCCGCCCTTCTCGGCCCCGGCACTGCCCTTCCCGGCCCCGGCTCAGCCTCTGCTGGCCCCGTCGCCCGCCCTTCCCGGCCCCGGCCCCGCCTTCACGCGGCCCTGCCGAGCAGCCACCCGAGCCGCCAGCGCCACCCGAGCCGCCCGAGCCGCCGCGCCACCTGAGCCGCCCGAGCCGCCGTACCGCCGAGCCACCCGAGTCGCCAAGCCGCCCGAGCCGCCGAGTCCCCGGGCCGCAGTTGCCGTTGAGCAGCCCGAGTCACCGAGCCGCCGAGCTGCAGTTCCTGCCGAGCCACCGAGCCTCTGAGTCGCCCGAACCGCCCTGTCTAGTAAGAGCGGCGCCTCTGTCACTGCACTGCCCATACCCCACTGTTCGCGCTACTAGTCTACTGCTGTCATGGCTACCCCTAGTGTCCTCGCTTTTGACGCTGAGGGTCGGGCCATTGACTTTGACGTTTGGGTAGATGACCTGCAGCTCTTCCTACAGTGCGATAGGGCAGACGGTCTCTCCCTCTTTGACCTCAATTCAGGTGCTTCTCCTGCCCCCCCTGGTGATGCTGACGCCACTGTTCGCTCACAGTGGGCCACACGCGATGGTGTTGCACGTCTTGCTGTGCGTCGCCACCTGCCTACCTCTGAGCGTGCACACTTTAGCCAGTACAGGAGTGCTCAGACACTGTACGACACTGTAGTTGCACGCTACTCCTCCCCTGCCACTACTGCACTGAGCCGCCTCATGCTACCGTACCTCTTCCTTGACCTAGCTGCCTTTCCCACAATCGTTGACCTCATTACGCACCTCCGCACTAGTGACACTCGCTACCACGCTGCGCTTCCTGCCGAGTTCTCCGCCAAGAACCCCCCCCCCCCCCCATGTACATCACTCTATACTACATCGACACCCACCTCCTGGACTCCCTCCGCATAGTCAGGGACCACTTCCTCTCAGTTTGCCCCACCACTCTCACCGTTGAGCTCCTCCAGAAGGCCCTCCTAGCAACGGAGAGTCGGCACAGAGGGTCGGCTCTAGTGGTGGTCTGCGCTAGCAGCAGCAGCAGCAGCAGCACACTCGTGACTCCCCCCCCCCTCAGCAGCTCCATGAGTGGTACGCTGCACGACAGCGGGGTGGGGGTACTTGTCCGTGCACCTACGTCCTCCGCACCGGCGACCGCGCGGGTGAGCAATGTGGGGGTGCGCACCCTACCCAGCGCTGCTTTGGCCGCCTGACGGACGCTTGGCGTCAGCAGTTCCCGGAGGCCACAAAGATCCCCCGCTTGGGGGAGCTATCTAGGGCGGGAGTAGCTATCTTTGATCTTGACTTTGATGCTATTCTTGCTGCCATGTATGCTGTGACTATTAGTGATGAGGGTGATTGTTACCGGTGCTTTCCGCCCGACCCGAGCATTGAGACTGCTGCTCTAGGTACTCGTGAGGCTGTTGCTCTAGGTGCTAGCGAGGCTGCTGCTCTAGGTGCTTGTGCGTTTGCTTCCTCAGGTGCTGGTGAGTCTGTGCTCTCTGGTACCGCATCGGCTTCGGCCTCCCTCACCTTCACCCTTGACTCAGGGGCTTCTTGCTCCTTCTTTCGAGACCGCACCACACTCACGCCGCTTGGTCGGCCAGTTGCAGTCTCTCTAAAAGATCCCTCTCGGGGTCCTGTCCTTGCTCACTTCTCCACTGTCCTCCGGTGTCCAGCGGCCACCTCTGGCACCCTGTCTGGTCTTTACATCCCCTAGTTCTCTACGAAGTTGGTGAGTCGTGCTGACCTACACGATGCGGGGGTTCACCAGTTCACTCCTGCGAGTCAGCGGGTGACCCACTGCACGGACGCTCGGACAAGCAGACACCTGGCCACGTTTACACGTCGGCCGGGGTCGAGCCTGTACACACTGACCGCTGAGTCTCCTCCTGGTACTACGTCTGGTCAGATAGCTATGTCGGGTTAGGTGTTTGCTGCACCGTCCAGGTCTGGTCCTGAGTCTGCCCCCTTGCTCGTGTCGCCTCCTGTCTCACGAGACACTCCTGTGGCACCACCGCCTTGGTCACCCCGCGCTGCTTCGTCTCTGAGGCATGGCCTCCCGTGTCCTTGTCTCTGGTCTTCCCCGGTCCCTCCCTCCCCTTCCTTTGGGGCTTGGCCCTACCTGCGTCCCCTGTGTCGAGGGGCGGCAGCGGGCTGCCCCTCACTCCTCCCAGTTTCCTCCGACAGAGGCCCCGCTGCAGACGCTTCACATGGACGTGTGGGGCTCGGCCCGCGTCCATGGACAGGGTCACGAGCGCTACTTCGTGCTGGTAGTTGACGACTACTCGCGTTACACCACAGTCTTCCCCTTCCGCAGCAAGAGTGATGTCACTAAGGTGTTGATCGGCTGGATCCGCGCAGCTCGTCTCCAGCTGAGGCAGGGCTTCAGTTTGGACTTTCTCATTTTGCGTCTGCACGCTCACAGAGGTAGAGAGTTCTCCTCTGGCCTTCTGCGAGCCTACTGTCATGCACGAGGCATCCGCCAGACCTTCTCCTCCTGAGTCCTCTCTTCCTGCTCTTGCCGACCCGGCGTCGGACTCTCTTCGTGCTGCCAGTCCTACTATCTCGTGTCTCCTTGCTACTGTCGTCACTGACCCTTCCTTTGAGTCCACTACCCCGTCTGCCCTAGTGGTGAGCTCGTCGACTTTGCTGCTCGCTGTCGTCTAGACTACGCTGCTAGTCTTGTTGCTGAGTCTGCGTCTGTCTGTCCTCCGTCCGTCGGGGGTGAGTATGCCCTTGGCACGGACGTCCTTGAGGACAGGCAGGAGGAGTTCCAGTGTCTGGCTGCTGCTTCACCTCATCTCGTGTCCGTACAACTTACCCTTGAGGGAGACCCAGATGCACTTGACATCCCGACTCCGCGCTCTTACGCAGAGGCGGTAGAGGGTCCCTACTCCTCTCAGTAGCAGGCAGCTATGGACGTAGAGATGGCTTCTTGGAAATCCACAGGCACCTACGTTGACGCTGTTCCCCCGCCTGGGGCGAACATCGTCAGTGGCATGTGGATCTTCAGGGTGAAGCGGCCGCCAGGTTCTCCACCTGTCTTCAAGGCGCGGTACGTGGCTCGTGCCTTCAGTCAGCGGCAGGGAGTTGACTACTTTCAGACCTTCTCTCCCACCCTAAAGATGACCACTCTTTGGGTGCTACTGCACATAGCCGCTTAGCGCGACTACGAGCTTCACTCTCTTGACTTCAGCACAGCTTTCATGCAGTGCAGCCTGCACGGGGAGATGTGGCTGCGCCGCCCTCCTGGATTCACTGGGTCGTTTCCCCGTGGTACCCAGTGGAGCCTCCGGCGGCCAGTCTACGGTCTCCGCAGGCGCCCCGTGAGTGGCACGACACACTGAGGACTACACTTGCGGCTCTTGGGTTTGCTCCTTCTACAGCCGACCCGTCGCTGTTTCTACGCACCGACACCTCTCTGCCGCCGTTCTACATCCTCGTGTACGTCGAAGACTTGGTCTTTGCCACAGGTGACACTGCTGGACTCGCCTACGTGAAGTCCGAGCTGTTGAAGAGACACACGTGCACAGACTTGGGTGAGCTGCGCAGCTACCTTGGCTTGCAGATCACCCGTGACAGAGCACGCCGCACCATTACCCTGACTCAGTCACACATGGTGGAGCAGGTCCTTCAGCGCTTCGGCTTCACGTACTCCTCGCCTCAGGCCACTCCTCTGCCTACTCGCCACTCGCTCTCAACTCTGCCTTCGGATGAGTCCGTAGAGTCGAGTGGCCCGTTGCCAGAGCTTGTTGGCTGCCTCATGTACCTGATGAACTGCACACGACCTGACCTTGCATACCCTCTTAGCATCTTGGCACGCTATGTTGCTCCTGGGAGACACAGACCGGAGCACATGGCCGTAGCGAAGAGGGTGTTGCGCTACTTGTCCAGTACGTCGTGCATGGGGCTTGTGCTTGGAGGGTAGAGTCCAGTGGTCCTCACTGGGCACGCGGAAGCTTCTTGGGCTGACGACCAGGCTACGCAGCGGTCGTCACAGGGTTACACCTTCAGCCTTGGTTCTGGCTCTGTTTCGTGGCGGGCTACCCGCTCGTCTTCTGTTCTCGGCTCTAGTTGTGAGGCTGAGATCTACGCCGGGGCCATGGCTGCACAGGAGCTTCGCTGGCTCACCTACCTGCTGACTGACCTCAGAGAGCCGCCTCGTTCTCCTCCAGTGCTGTACGTAGACAACAAGGCCATGCTGGCCTTGTGTCGA